CGACTACAGTTCAACACATCCAAATGTGCAGTTATAACATTATCACGGGCGCGTAATCTTGTAGTACATAACTATGAGGTTGGAGGTGTAACTATGCAAAGGGTCGTAGAGGTTAGAGATCTAGGCGTGCAGCTGACTTCCAATCTTTCGTTTAGTGAACATATAAACAGTATATGCAAGAAAGCATATCGCAGCATGGGCTTTATACTGCGCAGAGCGCATGGGTTCTCGAACATCACCGCGATTTGTGCTTTATATAACGCCTTAGTCAGAAGTCAGCTGGAGTGTAATGCGGTTATCTGGGCACCTCACGAAACGAAATATAAGCTCATGTTGGAACGGGTTCAGAACAAGTTCATTAGGTATCTGTACTTGAAGCTGTATGGGGTCTATCCATTTTATCCGCTGAAATACCCTAATTTATTTGTTCTGGGAATGGTTGGGTATAGCGAGCTGAGGGTCAGGAGAGACTTCGCGTTGGTGTGTTATATCCACAAAATGTTGAGGGGGAGGGTGCATAACGCGGAGCTGTTTCGACATGTGCGATTCAGTGTGCCGGCCCGGTACGCGGAGCGGCGGCGCGCGCCGCGGCTGCTGGCGCTCCCGCGCGCGCGGACCAACCTGCTGGCCGAGGCGCCGCTCACGCGCGCCTTGCGCACTATTAATTTGATAGCGGAACAAGTGGACGTGTTTGCGTGTTCTCTGAGTGAATTCACAAGGACGGCTTTGGGTATTATTAGTTATAAAATGTAAATAGATACTGTATGGTTAGTTTTTAAGTTATTATTAAGCCTACCTAGATTAAGTTATGCTATCGCATTAGGTTTTAAGTACCTGTAAAGATAGTGATAATGTGTGTGGAAATAAATAAATAAATAAATAAATAAACATCACGCTAAATATTGGATTGTAGCATTTTACGTAGTTATAATAAAAGCTAATTAGAAACAAAAATGTAGAGTCTAATGGTGCGTCCAGACTGGGCGAATTTGCTCGCGCGGCAAATTCATCATCCTGCTCACTCAAGAGAATTCTCCAATTCGCCCAGTCTGGATGAATCCAGATGGACTCATCCAGACTCATCCTTATGGTGAGCCATAAGGCTGGTTTTAAAGTCACGCTGACGCACGCTGACCGTCAGCGCTGACAGCCAAATAGTATGAAGCGTCGGCGCCGAGTGATCATCGTCACTCAGGAAAGTTCCCTTATTGAACTGTGAGCGCCGAAGATCAGCGAGCGGTCAGCGCGACACTAAAACCAGCCTAATATACTGTCTACTTTAGCTCATGAACAACCAATAAAAAAATAAATTCACCTTGTCAGAAATCAACAATGTTTTATGATCATGGTTTTATGTACATACCTACATACGTAATTTTACGTTTATGTACTCCACTTTAAGAGGTATTTACTACATAAATGTAAGCCTTCAAAATGGTCCCAGATGGTCCTAGTTTAGGGCCCATAACACTCTCTCGTCATCTTCGTATAAACTTTTACGTTCTAAACCTTCGCGAGTGAACGAATAAATTATAGAAGCATAATATAATATTTTTACAACTCCTCGATAATAGCATATTTTATTCATCATAAATAATTATCATTTCAAATTCAATTTTTTTATTGAATTTCAGCCACAGGATCACTGCTGAACATAGGACTCCTCCAATGATTTCCATATCGCCCGGTTAGTAGCGGCCTGCACCCAGCGCCTTAGTGCTACTTTTATGAGGTCTTCGGTCCTATTTCATTATTTATTTCATGCAAAACTTTCAATTGTCAAAAAGGATTGAGTCCTATGTGGCAATTTGAAAAAAAGCATTATCACTTACTTGTTTTCAGGTGGTCTGAAATCCAACACGTCCGTAAAATAACACCCACGCATATAACACTTTTCAGCACAATATTTCACAACGATCACTTCAGTACACAACTACACAACCTTCATCTACAACGACCGAGAGAGGACTGACCAACGAACTATACTTTTTGGTATAATGACAACTTCTACCCCCACCAAAATGGCAGCTAGTGGCGCTATCTGAAACGTCAGTTGACTCAAAT